ATTAAAGGAGGCTTTAGATGCTGCTACATGAGGAGGTTAAAAAGGAACAACTATCCCAAATTTTGTACATACCACAAGAGGATTTGTTGAGCAGTTTAGGGACATGCATCTGTTTAATTTCTGACTGGGTTTGCAGAGCTGGAGGATTCATTCCTCCCTTCAAAGTGAATGCATCAGTCTAAGAACAGTTGATGTTGTACTCGCTAAATGCCATATACAGTTTCCTCTGAACATTCAGCAAAAAGAAATTGTGAGAGTTTGTACTTGAAACCCAAAAATTTTTCTCTCCTATGATATTCATGCCCTTTCTTCCAGCCTCCTCTAGTATTCATCTGCTTTGCCTGGTAGGTCTTGTCTTTCAGACTGTGAAGTCCTTTAGGAATCAATGACTTAAATGTCTTTTAAATGACTTATGTGTCATTTAGGTTGCTTGCTTTGCACCTTCTGAACTGGGCACTAGTTCAATTACACTTTTTTAATGTACCAGCACAATGCAAGTGCCTAACACCAACAGAATTACCTGTCTGTAAATTAAAAGTCTTTTATAGTTACCTGGATCATCTTCCAAGACTTGTCTTGGAAAGCACAGTATCTCCTTTTCAAACCCCTGCTAATGGAGTGGGAGAGGTTTTGATCATAGTTGGTATCTAGCAGTTGTTTGATGCTGGAGTTCTGTAGCGAGTGAGCTTTGCAGGGTTCCCTTTGTGTTTCCCTTTCCAGGCTTGGCAGCTTTTGTGCACTTTTTGTGCACAGTGTGCTGTGACTTGGTTGCATTCACTCTGATGTATCTTCTTGTGGCTTTCTCCCCCTGTCTAGTTGCCTTGATAAATGTGGAAAAGCTATTTCTGCGAATTTCCATTTTTTCCTTTAAGTTATACCTTGCAGGATTTGCATAATGTGTTCTAGTCAGAACACAAACTTGGACTTCAGGACTTAAAACAGATCAAGGGGTTTGGGTTTGCTTTTACCCTAAGCTTCTTACACAGGCATTTAATGACATTTTTATGACAGTCTGTGAATTGGGCCCAAGTCTGAATTCTCCCCAGGTGAGCAAAATGAGAGGGAATGCTTACTGCAAGATAAAACATTAACATTTTTATATGTGAGGCTTCCTATTTCATTGGGTAATACCCATCTGAAAGATGCTGTTCAGATATTTCTTCCTCTTCTTGTTCTATTCTGTCTCCCAACCTTTCCTACCTGGTGTGGCTTAGTCCTGCAGAGCTGGGAACTTTGTTTAGTCTCTTCTTCTCCCACACAGAGAAAGAGCTCTTCATAGTGAGAATACAAACTCCCACCACAGCAAGGCTTAGATTTCAAGTGGCCAGGGCACCCAGCAAAAGGAAATTTAGGTTAAGCCCCAGAGCCATGTGCTGACCAGAGGCCTCTGAGGCTGCACCACTGTGGCAGAGAGGGTTGCCTTCAAAGGAGGGCAATCCTCACCACTGCTCTGAGTAGTAAATGGCACCTGGCTTACACAAACCTGCCTTCTGGCCAACAAAACAAGCTTTGGTATTGCTGAGGGTAGAGTGGTGCAATAGGATGGGAAAAGAGACCTTCCTGCATTGTATCCTTGGGCAGTTCCCTCTTCAGAGGCATCTGCCACTGCAGAGTAATTGGCTCAGCTACTTTGGAACTGACTATTACTATGTAGTAATAGCAAGTAAATACTTGTTTGCGTAAACATTTATTTACATAAATATTACTGTGTATCACCAATATAGGAGGTGATAAAAGTGTCCCACAGGGATGTTTATGACTCATTTGTTTGATGGCGTAGCGAAAGGTGTCCCTGCCTGGATGATCTTTGTGGTGCCTTCCAACCCAAACCATTGTAGGATTCTACCATTATTTGCTGAAGGTTGAAAAGGGGAAGATTTATCTGCCTTCTTTTTTTTTTTTCCTTTTTACCTTTTTTTTTTTTTCACCTTTCTTCCCAGAAACCGAGAGTGGCTGAAAAGGGTTTCAGATTATTTTGATGGATAAACAATGTGATTTATCTGTAGCCTTGGTCCCTGAGAGTGAGCAATGCAGAAAGCAGTTGTAATTTAATACTAAGGTGGTGAGAGGTGCATTGATTTTTACAGCAGGTGAAGATTATGCAAGAGCAGCCCCAAGCATTACCAGTGGAGCAGGGGAGGGAACTGTCTAATTTTTTGCCTGGTGGTGACAGTATAGATTTCTTTTACACGACTCAGCAAAAATCCTGTTCTACGGGTGTCACAGCAAGTTGCTTCAGCTTTTGATTTCCAGTTAACATTTCCCGACAATTTTGCTAAATCTGGGTCTTCCTTTTCCTAGGGACTAAGCATGTTTATTTACTCTTGTTTTTTTAGAAGAAGAGAGGGAAAGGTAGTTTTTACTTTGTTGCAGGCACCTAGTGAATATTTTATTTTCCCTTCTCCAAATGCTACATTTCTGTGATGGCCTGAGAAAAGAAAAAAAACTCATTTTACTGATGAATTCTCAGTGTTTTATTTGCAGAGGACTTGGATTGCTGCTGGGTGCGTGTGGGGGGAGAGGGAAGGCGAGGGGAGCCAGGCACATTCCTTGTGGTAGCTTTTCAACTCCATTCAGTTCAAACTTAAAACTCTTTCCCAAACTGCCCCTCCTGCAGAACGTGTGGTTGGAAACGGTGGGGAATTCGGGCTCCTGTTTTCATTTATGACTCAGCAAAGTTAACAGACTGTTTTAAATTACCGGGGCAGCTTTGATGTGATTTCCTGCGCGTGAGAAGTGGATGAAGCCAAACCTATTACGTTACATGTTTTACTATGCAGTGTAACATAAAAGGTGCTCGCTCTACCCCCCAGTTCCAAGGGAATATATCGCTCCCGTTTGCCTTCCTTACGTGGACAGCTGGAACGGCAGAGGCAGTGTTTTAAATCCTGTGTAACACAGCTCTCTCTGGGCAGGGCAGGACTTACAGGTGCTGCAGAAAATAAAGTTTCCTTTTTGTATAGACAAGGGAGGCGGCTGGTGACACTGAAGCACATCTTCAGATAAAACTGGCAGCACCGCAGAGGCTGCTGAGATGGTGGGACCGACTTAAAAACCTTGGGCTGGCACTGGCCCTGCTCCAAGGGCTTTGTTCTCTAAAGGTGCCTTGGTGGGGACTTACCCTCCAGCTCTGGAACAGGTGATGCTTCCTCAGCTGTAGGAAAAAGTGCCTGATGTTCAGCTGCAGGAATCTCTCCCAGAGGGTCTCGTTCGGACATGGATACCACGAGCTCTGACAGCCCGGGATGTGCTTGGTCCGTGTGAGAAGGGCTCGTGCATCGTCCCCACGCCTGGCAGTGCCCTGCCCGTTTCCCAGTGTGTTACACTTTCTTTGCCCCAGTTTAGGAGGCTGTTCTCCCTCTTGGTCCTTTCCCCCAGCAGACTGAGAGGCTCAATGTCAGCCGTTTGGGTTTTTTTGTGTTTTTGTTTTTTTTTTAAAGATAAATATCTACCGTGTGAGACACTAACACTGCAGGGTCCAGACTCCTCAGCCTCCCCTCCGGTAAATGCTCCATTTTGTCGGTCCTCAAGCATCCGTGGGAGAGATGTATTATAACTCTGGTGAAATCAAAATCCGGTGTGCAGAGACATCACACAAGTAATGTTATCCCCGAGGAAGGCTCCTCTCCTTTTTTTCCCCTTCGGCTCTTTGGAGGCAAACGCTGCTCCTCGTGGCACCAGCTGGCTGTCTCTCTCCATAAACCCTGCTTTTTTTTTTTTTTTTTTTTGCCGCTGTGAATCAGGATGTACAGCGAAATTTTCGGGAGCGGAGGGAAGCCGGCAGTTGGGCGTCTGTTAATAGCCTGAAAGTAAGTAATGAGGATGTGCAGCCGGAGCGATTGATTGAAGAGCTGCAGTCCTGTGTGCTGCTGCCTCGCTCGCCTGCTCCCCCGCCAGCCCCGGGGAGGGAGGGGGAGCAGAGCCCCGGCGCTCCCGGGAGTGGAAGGAGCACCGATCCCCGGGGCCAGGCGGCCGGGAATGGAAGTTTGAGCTGCGGCTGCTGGCTCCTGGAAGGAAAACGGCAGGAGTCAAAATGTCACTGGCTGGAGTCACGGCTCGCTCCTTCCCTTTGAGATTCGGAAGATAACAATGGACTTTCTGCTAGGAAGTGGGTTTTTCCCTCCCCGTGCTGGGGGGCGTTTTGGGAAGCTGGATTCCTTAAAGTCTGGCAATTGAGCTGGAGATGGGCAGCACTTGTGATAAAGGTATCTGGATGCATACATATGCATATCTAGCTATATATAAAAATGCATTTATGTGCAGTATATGTGTGTTTGTGGAGAGGGTTGTAATCCTGTGTATACTTTATTATGCTATTATTCTAGTATTTATACTAGAAAAACATATCAGTGCAGCTTTTATGAATATTTGTGCTCGTCAGATCAGCCTGCATGGATTTAAGATGCCAAAGTCGTGTCTTAGTAAGGTCATACTGCCAGAATGAGGAGAAGTTGACCTATTTATTTTTTTTTATCTGCAGAGATATATATGTCATATTACCCAGGCACTTCTAAGTCTTTTGCTGGTTGCATGGTTTGAGCAAGTAGTGGGATCACACACGACCAAACTTTGACCTTTGTCAAATTGCATTCAGCTGGGACTAAAATTGAGCTTCCCTGGGTCTTGATTGTAATTATCTGTTAATTACTGCATTGCTTACGCAAAAAAAAATTAAATTTAATAAATATATTAAAGTTCTCTGAATACTGTCTGTCAGACAGTTACAGAATATTAAATATGTCTACATATTGATCTTTACCAGCATTTTTAATTTTAATTGCCTACAGTCAAGTCAGATTCACAACCTGGGATCTGCCAGTGAAAATGCCACTGTAATTTAGTAAGTAAATATGATATAGAGAAATAGGTGGGTTAGTTCAGCAGTTCAGTAACGCACTTGAAACTTTGCTGAGGAGTCTGTCCTGCAGAGCACAAAACCTGACTATTCCCCACCCCCAGGCACCCATTCACCACCTTCTTCTTCTTCTTCTCTTCCTCAGAGGTCCCAGCAGAGAGATCTCCTCGCAGACGGAGCATCTCAGGGACCAGCACCTCTGAGAAAACCAACTCCATGGACGTTCCCAACACCTCTCCCTTCCGAGTACCAGTAAGTGTGCTGTGCTTGCCCTGCAAAGGGGGATCTGTCCTGTGGGATGGGAGGAGGAGATTAAAATATCACAGTGTAAACCAAGCTGGGGGGGGGGGGGGGGGGCGTTGGGAGGGAAGGAATATTTAGTTAATATTTCTAGTTGACCAAGAGGGCTTTGCTGTCAAGTGTCATGTATCATCAATGATAATATCTGGTAGATCCCAAGCTTGCTGCTTTTCGTTGCCTTGATCTAAAGTTGCAGATAGTGAAACATCAGAGTTAATGTGGGCAGCGACCTATATAAATACTTTTGAAGTCGCCTCCAGGGATTGCATTCCATATTCAGTGTTGACTAGGAAAGAAGTTCCTTTAGGTTAGCAATGGCGTGTTATTTTCCCCTCATGCCAGTGAAGTACATAGAAAATTGAAATGGCTTTATAGTTTATTCAGAAGCTGATGGAATCTCTGCAGGTGTGTTAATTCCTCCTTAGCTCTTCAGGTTTTGTCCCGAGTTTGGTTGGCTCTGAGTCTGCATGAGAGTTTTTCAGCTACAGCCTGGATTTTCTTGCTTGTCTCAGTCTTTGGTCAGTGTATTTAAAAGCACAAAGGTATTTCTATTATTAGACTGAGGACAAATGCTAGTAATCTGCCTACTCTAAAACCTGAGGAAAACCAGGAGAAGAATTAGCTAGTGAACACTGGAGTTTTTTGGATGTTCACTATGGACATGAGTGCCATTTCTGGACACAAGTACCATTTCTGCAGCTTTGTGTATATATCCTTGCTTTGCTTTAGATAACACTCATCCCTTCTAAGCACACTTCCTAGCTCCCTTTAGATCCAAATGTGTGTGAAACTTTGGTTTTGGATAAATCCTACGTCGTGTCATTTAAAAAATAAAATGAAGAAACAGCCAAGGATTTAATGAAAGCTGTTTAAATTATTAAAGGATTAATGTTGGTCAGAGTTTCTAGAATACATGGTATTTAAAGCAGCCTGTTAACTCATGATTTATTGGAATGGAGAAAAGGACAAGGGATGCAGTGAATATACTGGGTATCCTTACTTGGTCCCTTTTCAGAGTCATAGAGTAATACAGATTGGAAGGGAAGTCTCTGATCTATCCCCTCTTAAAAGCTGGAACAACTTACATCAGGGTGCTCAGGGCATTCTCCAGTGAGGGGTAGAACACCTCCAAGGATGCAGAGTCTTGCTCAGTGACCTCCTCTGGTGCTTGACTGTCCTCCTTGGGAAGAATATTCCTTTTATAAAGGCTTCCTTGTCAGAACAAAACCTGGACTTCTAACTGATGTTTGTTGAAAGGCCATGAATCCCGTTTCCCTTGAGTTCAAAGGACACCTGAAGTAGCAGTTAAAGCAGAATGTATTGCTTAGCCTTGGGAAGGGAAAGCTCTGAGGGAAGTGTTAGCAGCGTGTGTAAATACCTGATGGAAGGGAGTAAAGGCGATGGAGCCAGGCTCTTTGGACAAGAGCCCCTGAACACAAATTGAACTGTAAGAAATCCCAGTTAAACACAACAAAAACCTTTTTTTTTTTTTTTTTTTTTTCACTGTGATAGAGCGCTGAAACAAGTTGTCTGGAGAGGTTGTGGAGTCTCCATCCTTGGAGATACATTCCAAAGTACACTGGGCTCAGATCCTCCTAAGCATCTTGCTCTAGTTCACTCTGCTTTGAGCAGGGGGTTGGACTAGACAATCTCCAGAGAATGTCTTGCCATCTCAGCTATTCTGTGTTCTATGAACAGCCCTCTGTCACTTCAGAGACCTGTTTTCTGGGTGGTACTTGGGGAGAAAAGGGCCTTGGTCTAGTTGTACGTGAAGCTGTTACACGAATATTCTGCTATGTCAAGTTCTGAGAATTTTATCCTGAGCCCATGGTCCACAGAGTTCCAGGAAGATTTCTGAACTCTGAGAGCCTTCAAAAGTCTGATCTTTTTCTTCATCTATAAGAAATTCTCTGCTCTCTCTGCCTTCATGTATAAGTAATAGCCCTTGCCTTTAGATGTCTACATGCATTGTAGTAGTTTTCGTCTGACAACTGCAAGCAGCCTATCAGAACTGTTTGATGACTATCTATATTGTTTATTTTATATGCCTCCTTTTTTTGGGACAACTTTTTTATGCTGATCCTATGTCTTAAGTAAAGGTTTAATGGTTCTCTAATTCTTGTCTAATAGTTCTCTGATACTTCTTAGCTCCTGCTCCCTTTCAAATCAAGGACCTTGCAGAATGTTTCTTATTTTCCCTGGTGGTGTGCTGGGCTTTTAGGACTCCAGCAAACAGGCTCTGGAGGCAGCACATGGATGCTTTTTTTGGGCATAAACCAGCACAGAGCTAGAAGCTATTCGTGCCACGTGGAGCTGGATTCTGCTGCTTTGTCTGCCTGACCACCTGTATGCCCAGGAGCAGAATGCACCCTCCTGTCCTTCTCAAGGGGACAAGGCTTCTGGCTTTGGAGGTTTTGCTCTGAGTAACCCATTTACACTCTGTTACTCCTTAGCAGGTTGTGGTGCAGGTGGGGGCTGAGATCACCCTGTTTTAAAACATGCCAACTTGTGATCTGCTTAAAAAGAGCAAGCTGCAATTAGAAGTCAGATTGCTTAAGAATACGGATGAGCTCAGGCCAAAACTGCTGAAAGCAAACACGCTGTTAACTTGGTGGATTGGCACACACCTAATAGGTGGGTGAGAAGGTGGGGAGGAATCATGTTTCTGCCTTCGGTTGATAATAAGAATTTCCCAGCTCTCAGAAGTGGGAAAGGTGACTTGGGTGCCTCATGGAAGTTGCAGATCAGCGGTCTGGGAAGAGCTGCAAGTCAAGGATGTAAGAGGTGCCTGTAACAGCTTTGAATTTGTGTCTGTGAGGTTGTCTTTATTTGACAGGGATTTATTCTACATATAAAGGAGATGAATAGTAAGAGAACTCGCTGTTTTGTTTCTCCAGACATTGTCACCTCCAGTGCAGGTTGGAGGGCCAGGGGCAGCTGCAGAGTAATGCTGTCTCAGTTGTTCTTTCCATGGCCCTGACTCTGTGCCATACCTCTTCCACTCACTGCTTGGATTTCTAACAGAAAGCAGCTTAAGGCAGGGGACAGCTTAACCTTCTTCCATCCTGACAGAAAATTATGCTGAGACTTTCATAATAAGTTGCTTTTACAGCTTTTTAAGTTTGCATCTCGGAACAGCTATTTAAAAGCTGTCTTCTCAATAGGACAGTGGCTTCCAGCACGTTCTGTGCAGGTTTTTTTCCTTTCAAACACCAGGCAGTGGTGCTCTCTCAGAACAAGGCATCTGTTTTTTTAATACTGCTAATTGGCATTGCTTTAGCATCTGGAATTTTGATTTATAACAGCATAATTGCCTTTAAGCAAACATTTCCTCAACGAGACATTTTTTAAGTAGTCTCTTCAGTGGCTGTGGTCAGTGAAGGATTTATTTTAAAGGGCTGATGTGTAAACTTCAGGAAATTTGCCTTTCTACCTCCTGCATGTGCACTGGAGGAAAAGATGTACATTTAAACTTACTAGTGTGTGAAAAGCAGAATTTCAGGAGTTATACTCTTCTCTAGGACAAACCACCACATGGACCAGCGTGTGCCATGTGTTTGTGAGGGTGGGGAGGCCCTGGCACAGGTTGCCCAGAGAAGCTGTGGCTGCCCCATCCTTGGAAGTGTTCTAGGCCAGGTTGGACGGGGCTTGGAGCAACCTGGGATAATGGAAGGTGTCCCTGCCCATGGCAGGGGGTGGAATGAGATGATCTTTGAGGTCCTTTCCAACCCAAACCCTTCTATGATTTGTTCTGGTTATCTCACTGAGGGGATTAAAAGGGATTCTGCTAGTGCTGACACTGCACAGCACAAGGTGTGCATGCAGAGAGAAGAACTCTTAGTGCTTCTCCTTTCTTTTTCTTCCCGGTTTCCCCAAATACTCTTATCCTCAGTTAAAACATCAGTCTCCATCTAGGAGCTGTGTAAACTGCCATTTGACAATTCTCAGCTGTTTCAGAAACGTGCCTCCTCACATATAGACAGATGCGTTCTGTTTATATATATAGAAAAAGTCGTATTTTTAACAATGAGTACTATTTGACTGAACAAATAGGGAGGCAGAGGGAACTGGCTACAAGTAGGCACCGTGACACATAAGTGGGCAAGGAACCAGCTTTTCCCTTCCCACACACACCATGTCCTGGCAGCGTCTCGGTCTCCGTGCATCCCGTTCCCTGCTGTGGCACTGTGGAGCACTGTGGCAACCTGACACATTCTCTCGTTGCTCTGCCATTGGAATCTAGGATCAGGGGTAAATATGAGGTTATCCACATCTTCAGACCTCCTGCAGTGGCAGGATGGAGAGGAATTGCTGAACCGCTCTTCAGACTCACGTTGTGCTCCCCGGTTTTGGCTTCTTTGGGGTAGGGTTGTTATCGCAAATAATATATGATTCATCCATGTCTGCTGGCTAATAGGAGGAAAAAAAAAGATGAGAGAGAGGCAAAGAAACAAGTGCAAATGGGACGGGAAAGCCAAACGCAATCTTTGAAGTAAATAAAATGATTTTTATAGGAACCCTGGTGGAGGATATTTGCAGATCGCCTTCCTTGGTCTGTTTCTGGTCGAGGGCATAATTGGATCTATAGAAATGCTGTCTGCCTCTCTGCTCTTTAAGAGTACAGCTAAATGGAACAGAAGACAATGCAGCCAGCCCAAGTGAAGGTCAAAGCTTGATGAGATCTCGTGGCTGCCCAGCCTCATCTTTTATGCAGTCAGCAAGATTGTTGCTCCTCCAGAGCTCTGCTCTGCTCCCGCCGCGCTGCCAGGACAGGACAAGTCTGAGCTGTGCTGGCTGTGTGACCCCGTGGCATACAAGTACATGTTTTTAATTCTGCATCAGCACCCGTGCAGAGATGGAATTGTTGATTTGGATTTTGTGAGGCAGCATGGTATCCTCCTTGAAAAGCTGGCTGTGCTCAAATGTGTCCCCTTAAGAGAGATGAACATTTT